CCCCCCCACACTACATCTAACACCCTATAGCACATCATTACTCCTCTCCTATTCCCTAAAGAAGATAGTTTAAACAAAAACATATAAGTACAAATATTTTCCTAAAAATACACACACAAATACACTCTACAAAAAGAGAGAAAATACCGTGTGTTACAATTTAGTAAACGACCCTTTAAAACTAAAATTTATATAACACCTAACATTTTTTTAACGTCTTATACAATTAAAAGAATTATTTATCACAAATATGCACAACATGAGAAGAAAGGTTTATTAGTAATAAAAAATTTACGTATAATGAAGATGCACAACATGGGGATCTGGGAGATTGTGGGTAAAGATGTGGAATTGGCGATACAGATTTCTTTTATAGAGGTCGTTTGGCTAGAGAACTAAATCATACACTTCTTTGTTTGATTCTGAAGATTTCTAATTCAGCTCGTGTGACTGATTAAAGACCCATTTCTTGTTGTTCGGTTCTCTATAAATATGTTACTAAGGGATTGCTTATTTAGGGGGCTTTTTGAGTTATTTCAGTCTGGCACTGGTGATAAGCTATTCTTAGTGTTTGGATTAGAAAAAAAAAATTGCTTATGCCGGTGCCAAACCAGTAATAAGCAGTTTTTGATAAGTTAGTCCTTCCTGATTTATGAAAATCAACCTTTACCGGTTTACCATTTTAATTCTGTTAACACCTTTTACACCTATCTCTCTTCCTTCATACGACTCTTCTCTGGATAACATCGATATCTCTGTTCTTCCAGATACGAACATCAATTTTTCTCCCTGTTACAGTACATTGATATCTTTCTTCTTCCTCCAGATACGGACATCGATATTTCTCCATGTTACAACACATTGATATCTCTCTTCTTCCTCCAGATATGAACATCGATCTTTCTCCCTGTTACATTACATCGATATCTCTCCTCCTCCGGTTACGAACCAGAGATCGATTCTTCCTCCAGATACGAACCAAAGATCGATTCTTCCTCCAGATACGAACCAGAGATTGATTCTTCCTCCGGATACGAACCAGAGATCAATCTCGATCTATGGCTATGAATCTCGACAGAGATCGATTGATGCACACAACATAGGACAGCCTGTGAATCTCGATCCGTCTCACAACAAATATGAACCACTCTCTTCACAAATCCTACACCATTGAATCTCTTCCTAAAGGTAAACAATTTCATCTTTGATCGTATTACAGTCTTGTATTTGGTTTCTGTGGTTAATTTTATGTTCGTTTTTTTTGGAATTTGTTTTGTTAATTGGTGTCTGCTGTGCGGATTTGTTTGTGATTCTTGCGATATGGGTGGGTTTTTTCGTTTAAAGATTAACTTTTTGTTAACTTGCAATACTTATGTTATACTTAACTGGAGTACCAAATGAGTAAGTTTAATTATGCAAGTCTTCAGCCTTTAAATGTAGGTAGTAAGTAATCAATTTTGTAAGAACCATGAGTGGCAATGCTTTAGAATAAAATAATATAAGGAAAATTATATAAATGCATCATGTTTTTTCGGTTAAAAATTACAATATTGAATGAAAATTCTGAGTATACTTTTACAATTTTGTAAATTACAAACAAAAGAATGAAAAACTTATAGGTGGGAACCTTATATGTTAGGTAATTTGATTAAAATTGAACGAAATTAACAGCATTGATAGAGGTGTGAGAGTATCATTATGTGATCGATAATTTTGAGTATGTAATCGAAAAAAATGTAAATGATAATGGTACCGTTTTTATCATTGGGCTTAGGAAAAACATTTTTCAGCCGATAAGGGAACTTCGGGGAGACAAGGGAAGGATACTGACTTTTCAAAATAACTTACATCTATAAGGGTCTCAGAGTTGTGGTTCTTGTTTTCAAAAAATTTAATCATTTTTTTTTCCTGAAACAACGAAGAAGTTATATAAAGATTCACTCAGTTGGTCAAGTAGAAACGGTCCACAAGAGCCAAAAATCTTACCGGGTAAGAGCGATGAGAAGGATGGAAGGTCTTAACCTGGTAAGTGAGGATGATGACTCTTACCCAAGTGAATGCTTACCCGGTAAACTGTTGCATTTGATACGTTTTCATGTACTAAAATCTTAAGCATCAGAATAAGTTATAGTGTTGACTCCTATCGATAAGGCTTACCGGGTAAGCATTTGGGTAAACGACCCCTTAATAATTGATTTTGGGTAGGTTTTTGTTTTGCTTTTTGGAGCATCAGATTTATACATGTTTTAGGAACATATTGTATTCATATTTTATGGTCTTGATATGAACTTATCCATGTGTTTGTTGTTTTGGACATTGAACTTTATTCATGTTCTTTGGATATCTTGGATAATAGAGTTTTATCCATGTTTTGTTTCATGTTCTTTGGATATCTTGGATAACGGAGTCTTATTCATGTTTCCAGTATTTGAATCCTAAATCTTATTCACAGGTTCTGACTTTATGTTAAAATGAGTGCTTTGATCACCAAGTTTTCATCATGAAAAAGACGGTTTTGTGAAAGATGTCACTTTTATGCTAAATACATTTAATTTTGGGATTGTGGTTTAAATAACATCTTTTTCGGTCTTCTTTTATATCAATGATGAAAACTATTTGAACTCACTAGACGTTAATCCTAACTCTTTTTATTTGTCCGCATGTGCATCAAGTCCTCGTTAGGGTTTGGTACTAGCGACACTGTATTGAATTGAGTGCTAGTTAGAGGCATAGCTAATTGCTGATGTCTTTCGTACCTTGGCGATAATGGTGACTAATGGATTTTAGTAACACCTACCCTTTAATATAGTCTTCTGTAAGGTTTTGGAATATTATGTATTGATGTTAAAACTTAGATTGTCATCATAGGTGATCAACTGTTGACTTTACAACTGGATTTAATTCCTTATTTGATGTTCTATAAAAGTTTTAAATTAGTCGTTTTTTTTCCAAATTTCAGGGTGTTACAGTTATCTTTCTTACTTATTGCAGATTTTGATTGTAACTGAAGATTTATGATTGAAGATCCGCTCACCCTTTTTCTGTCGTTAAGGTGATTTAGCTTGTATGAATCGCTATTGGTTTGATACCAATAATGGGAGCCGCTTGAGTTGTCTTAGAACTATGGACCCATCTCACTAAAAAACATGTGTTTTGACACTAACGGTTAATGTAAAAATATGCAGGCTACGTGGCCCATGACCGCAGGTCACATGTGATTCAACTGTTTGTATTCTATTATTTAACTACTGTTCTCGTATGAACATGACTCCCCTTCTCGTTTCCCACAATGGTTCCATCCTTGGTGTTTATTGATACCGTTAACCGGAAGTCTTGTGGTCGAGGTCAATTATATGCATATAAGAAAAATAGAGGGGCCAATTTTGCCAATTTGACACAAAGTTTGACTTCGATTTTTACCCACACAAAAGTCACCACAAATCCAGTTCGCAGCCGCTTTACCTTTTCACCCCCCTGGGGAAATGGAAGTGTTTACCGGCGACCATGGGCTACCAAGCGACGTCGTCCTCTACCCTGATACACACTTATCTCCATTCACTCTACCTAACGCCGATACCTTCTCCGATCAGCATAAAATCCCAACCGACCACCACCATTTTCTTCCTCCGCAGCCGCCGCAAAAGCTCCGTCCAATAAGGTGCAACGGACGAAGTTTTTCGGAGTGTTGTTCGTCAGATGATCCCCTTGATGTGAAACCGCTGAGCTGGCCGCCGGAGACTGGGTTCTATAATACAGAAACTGACGATAGTGGTTTCGTTCCGCCAAAGGCTTCTACTTTAGGTTTATCGTTTGAAGAATGTCAAACTGAAGCTGCATTAAGGTAATATGTTTCTTATGTTTTGGTTTTAGGTCATGTTCCATTTTCACTACTATTTGCCTTAACTATTCTTTCAAGTTGGAGACAGATTCATCAGATGTTTGATTAATTCAAGCTCAATTTGGAATAGACATGTTCCCAGCTTAATTAACATGTGATGTGATTCATCAAGTATTCTATAAGTGAGATTAAGGAAGATGGCAAAATAAAGCATGCTCTGGATAATGTTGCAAAGGACATTTTTGTATATATTTTTTGAGGTGTTCTTTGTATATTCTTGATTAATCTTGACATGGAAAATGTTGGCAAAGGGATTTGAGTATTTGCTCTATAAGCATTATATGGCATGAGTTCTTTTCTATTTTTGGGTGGAAGGGTGATGATAGGGGATTCTAGAAATTCCTTATTTGTATCTTGTTACAATATTTTAAAGGAGGAAGCTCCAGGAAAATTTGGAATTCCCTCCTCGTGTATAGAATTAGGTGTGTGAAAATATATGGAACCCCGTTAGATTATTCTTCAAAAGAGTCCTTGAGGAGAGAATATGCCCCTATACCCCTCGTCTAGCCGATGTGGAACCCTATACCCCCCGCCCCCCAAAAAAAGGGGTTAGATGGGCAAAGATGTCCTAGATGGTAGACTTGAATTTGATACTATGTGAGATTATGTGGAACCCCATTAGATGTTTCTCCGAAAGAGTCCCTTTGGTGTAGAAGGGGGGTTCCAACATACAATGAGGAGAAAATGCCCAAGTGTAGTCGATGTGGGATTATAGTAGAATGAAAATTGTTGAATCAGGGAGGAAAAGAGAGTATTATACATTGAAGAGATAGGTGGTTCCTTTATCTTTTCTAGATTATGGTTTATTACTAGATATGGTCACACCAGTTGGCCTTTTGCCTTTGATCCTGCCCTGCTAAATTGGTGCTGTAGTTCTTGTTATTTATAGTATATTTGAATGGAAATGGCATGAAACTTTAATTTTTTGCAGAATAAATGCATTAGTTTACTATGTTTTGATGTCAATTAATTGTTAACGAGACTCCAAGTCTTTCTACTGATGGTATGTTAATCTGACAGCACACAAACAGTAATAGAAAATTGGAGGAATCTAAAAGAAAGAAAGATGCATTGTTTATATGGTTCATCAATTTAGGTACATCCATGGTCATTGCTAGGATTTTTTTGATCTAACTCTTAAATTTCAGCAGTATAACACAAACATAATAATTTGGTTCTTTGTATAGCAAGAGTCCAAACTGTTAAAGAGAAGACAACAAAAACCGTAAACGGTTTCCATTTTTCTACAGCATCAATGTGAGCGTTAGTGGTACAGTCGAAATATCAAACCAAACAAGACCTGTATATCCAACCTGGAGGTGGGATCTTGGGGGCAATGTGTATGAAGACCCGATCTCTTCCCTAAAGAGTGGAGCAGCTGTTTTCATGAAGGCCGCTACTGGTGAAAATTGTGTTAAAGGAAGAAGTACAGAAATGCTAACATTTCAAAAGCTAGATATGGATAAGCAATAGCAATTGAGAAACTAGATGTTTAGTGGTAGCAATCAAAGTCCATTTTCTTCTTAAATCACGTCCTTTCTTGTTCAAGAGTGTCTCAGGGCAGAAAGTCAGAATAACCTATATGCTGCATGAAGTGTTGTTTATTAGAAAATATTGAGAAATGTAATATGTTACTTATCGAATAAACCATGAAAATATAGAACTCAATTGGGATAATTATTCAGATTATGACTAAGATTTTTGCATCTTCATCAATGTTGGAACTTTAAGACCAAACAGCTTTCTTGAATCTCTATACATGACATGTTGGGTCCTTTCTGAATCACCAAAAGCATTATATATAAGGGGTATGATTATTGTAGGTAATTAAGGAGAAAAATTACCTGAGGATGTTATTTGAGACGAGTGTGTAGCTCTTGTTCTTGAAAATAATCTGAACTCCTTTTAGCTATATTTTGAAGGGAATGATATTTGAATGACCAATGCTTCAGTAGCTTTTCGGCTTTGAGTTTTATGGTGAGCAACAGAAGTTATCATTCATAAACAGCCTATGAATCCACATTGAACACCAAATTGTTTATTTAGACAAGTGTAAACAGATGGTTGCATTAAAATTAATCATCCTGTCTCCTTTCTCTTGTTTCAGTTCTTCATCAGATGAAGGCACCAAACTGCAAGAAGCCATCAAGGAACCCATAACCAAGAAGAGGAAAAGGAAGTCCAGAAAGAAGTTGGAGTTGTTTATCGAAAGCATGATGAAGACAGTAATGGAAAAGCAGGAAGAGATGCATAAACAGTTAATAGAGATTTTAGATAAGAAGGAAAGCGAGAGAATCATGCGAGAAGAAGCATGGAAGCAACAGGAAATCGAAAGAGCAAAACGGGATGAAAAAGCAAGAGCCCAAGAGATATCTCGCAGTCTATCCCTCATTTCCTTCATTCAGAACTCATTAGGCCAAGAAATCCAAATCCCCAATCCTTTCAATGCTTCAAACCCCAACAAACAAGATGAGAATCAAAACGAGGAAAGCTTCAAATGTGACACAGGAAATGATAACAATGAAGAATCTGAATGCGATTCGAATATCAGGAGATGGCCAAAATCTGAAGTACAAGCACTCATAACAGTGCGAGCTGCTCTGAATCAGAAGTTCAATCATAAGGGACCAAAAGGCTCTATCTGGGAGGAAGTGGCTGCTGGATTGGGTCGTATGGGCTATAATCGGACTCCGAAAAAGTGCAAAGAGAAATGGGAAAACATCAATAAGTATTATAGAAGAACAATGGATAAGGGGAAGGAGAGTGGTGGTAGAAGTACTCAAGCATGGTCATATTTCAGTGAGTTGGAAATGCTGTATAAAAATGGATTCATTTCAGGAAATTCCCACGACGAGGATCAGAATACGAAGGAAATGCACTAGGATTTAAAAGCAGTAATGGTTCGAAAAGCTTTTAATATATGTAGTATTATTATGACATTCTCATTGGTATCAGATTTTGTCGACCTATGGACTTGTTAAAAGTAGAAGAAACGTTGGTTTAATGGCAGAAGAAAAGATGGTTTAAATGGAGAGCATTCAGTTTGGTGACACTGGCTTTATGCAATTTGATGCTCAAATACCCCCATCATAACGTAATGGTAAATTTGAAGTTTTCCAGTAGACCCGCATACATCTTTTTAACTTCTCTTGCTCTTCTAATCCTACCACCATCCTGCCGCTGTCATCTTGACCGAAGAAAGGAAAAGAATGGAGTGAAAAGTTGCAGTAATGTTGATGTGTGTGCTGATCGTATCATCGTCGTTGTTTTCCTTGTTCATATGCAGGAGCAGAATGACGATTCGCCATCGTATATCATACCTCTGTTATTGTTCTCTCTTATTCCTCTTTTCATTCTGGTCTATTCGTTGTACCTTGTGCTGCTTGTCTGGTAAATTTCATGCAACTCCATGATTATTGAATCAAAAGTTGGCATTTTTGGAACAATTTAGTCATATATATATATAGAGAGAGAGAGAGGGGGGGGGGGGTTTCTTATCTTTTTTCTTATTAACCTGGATATCCAACCCGCTATGTGAGCTGACTAATTAATTCCAGGGCAACCACCTGCTTTGCAGATGGCCCGGAGTCACCGCATTTGAACCTCTGTGGCCATAAGGGGATTTTTATTTCTTCTTGAATTTGAACCTGAGACCTCTTAGTACTTTTGACATTTAGAGTCAAGCTCAACCAATCAGGCACCACCTTTGTGGTTAGGTTTTATCTTTTGTTAACCACTCCATTTGTGGTAATTGTACAAACTTTTTTGACCAATAGGAATCTATTTAGTCCTATGGTTCATAGCTCGTTATGTAATTAATGAATGATTGAGGGCAAAATAGTGAGTTTAAGTTTTTGTTACATTATTGCATTCAAATGGGAGTTACAATAGACCTTGATTTTAGCCATTTTAAAAGTATGATTCTTTTTCTAGTTTTATTGATTGTGTTTATTCATAGACAAATGCAATATTAGAAATCTATCAATAACACTTCAATATTCATTATCTTGCTTCGAACAAGTTTGTTGTATCTCGTTTATTGTATGATATGGAGGTAGGATCTGTGGTAGATCACTTCTCGTCAATGAGATCAATAAGAACGGTTGAAGGTGTTGAATCAGACGATATTAACCATGAAGATTTTAACGTTGATAATGGAGATAGTTAGTCATGCAGACTGGAGTCGCAACAAACAAATCAAAAGGATTGTTTTGGTAAGGTTTCTTGTAGTAGTAAATGTGATGTGTTTTGATACTAAGGTCATTGTGGGTTGATTTTAAGGAGATATTTGGTTTGGGGGTGTGATTGAGAAATGTAAAAAAGATTGATATAGGTGGAGGTTCAAACGAGAACATCTTTATTTTATGAGAACGTAGAACACCCTTATCACATGTGATAATACACGTGAAGGGACCTGGTGGCGTGCAGAGGACGTGTCCTGCGACTAAGGTCACGCCAGAGGTCGTCTGCGTCTGTGATTTATTATCACAGGTGATGGTCTTGATGGATTATAATATCACATTAATAACACATTTATCACATGTGATAATACAGTGAGGGGGCTTAATGGTGTAAGGACGACTTGGCCTGCAACCTAGATCGCACCAAAAGTCGTCCGTGTCTCTGATTTAGCATTAAATGTGTATTATTTGTGATGGAATAATAGTATCAAATGTGATTGTCTATGGTAAAAAGGTGTTCTCATAAAATGAAGTTGTTCTCGTTTGAACTTCTCTCTCTCTCTCTCTCTCTCTCTCTCTCTATATATATATATATATATATAGGGTTGGGTTCACGTGAGACCAACCTGTTTTCGTGAGACCCGTGAGACCACATTTTTATACTTGAAATTTCACAGCAAAAACACTGTGAAGGTTAAAAAAAGTCACTTTCACAGCATTTTGCTGTGAAGTTTCAAGTGTAAAAAGGTGTTATCACGAGTTTCAAGAAAATAGGCTGGTCTCACATGATCCCAAGTCTATATAGGATTGGGTTCACGTGAGACCCGTCTGTTTTCGTGAGACCCATGAGACCACATTTTTACACTTGAAACTTCACAGCAAAACATTGTGAAGGTAAAAAAAATCTGAACCTTCACAACAAAAACAATGTGAATGTTACTTTCACAACGTTTTGCTATGAAGTTTCAAATGTAAAAAAGTGGTCTCACAAGTCTCATGATAACAATATGATCTCACATCATCTCTCTCTCTCTCTCTCTCTCTCTCTATATATATATATATAGAGAGAGAGAGAGGTTCAAATGAGAAACACTAAATATATGAGAAATAGAGAAGTGATTGTAGCCTTTAGTATAAATCAGAATGAAGGGCAATATGGTAGTTAGCATAAAGCATCGGCGATACATGATCAATACAGCGTCATCGTTGATGACTTTAATGTAACTCTGGTCGGCGACGATATATGATCTCGATCCATTAACGATTCTAACAAATCCAATCCGGTTTAATGGCAATTCTATCATCGATTTTTTCTCGCTTCCTTCTCGATCATATATCGTAATTATAGGTTATCAAAATTATCAAATTTATTAATTCTTTCTCGCTCAAATCTCATATTCGTTCAATTTGACTTTGAATCTAGAAAGCGACCTTGAGCAAGATGTTGATGTTGATTCTAAAACTATAATGTTATATGTGAATCTAAGATTAAAAAGTAAATCAATTACATAGTTCATATGTGAAGGACTTAAAATAGCTCATATGTAAATCATTCGGGTTCATATATGCACATAACAATGAAAACAACTGTTATCATAAGAGAATCTATGATTTCATATGTGAACCAGTTAAATAGTTCATATGTGAATTAGCTAAATAGTTCATATATGAATCACACGGATTCACATATGCACATATAGTTTATATGTGAATTAGTTAAACAATTCATATATGAATCACATGTGTTCACAATATAGTCCAATATATGAATCACATGGATTTACATATGCATATATATTACAATTTGTTTACAATATATTTGTAAAAATTACAAAATACCCATTTATCTTCCACATAGTTGTTACCATGCGACCTAATTAGGCGGATGCATATCCAAGCACTTGACAATCTTTCTGATTTAGGGTTCAAGAGACAAATACTTAACCCTTTTAAGAGAAACTTCCGCATTTCAATCACATTATGTCCATACATTTTTCGAGAGATCATAACTGCATCACCATAAACGGAAAATATTAGCAACCAACCTAATTAGATTCAAATATACGTATTCATGACTACAGAAAAAATTAATAATCTATAAACAATATATAAACCTGATATCCAATACGTACACTTCCATAAGTAATAACAACTTTGACATCAGTTTGATAGTATAATTTCTTTGCTCAATGGGTGAGCTTGATTCGAGTTTCAGTTCGAGCTTGATTTGAGTTGTAGTTTAAGCTTGTTTCGAGCTTGATTCGAGTTCAAGTTCAAACTTGAGAAATAATTATCGAGTTCGAGTCGAGCTTTAATTTTTACTACTCGCGAGTTTTCGAGTCAAGTTCGAGCTTGGAAATTGGGTTTTGGGCTTTAATTTTTACAAGGACCAAAAGTCTTTTCCCGTGAAGGTGGTTACCACTTACCAGTTAATTATCGCATACAATGCCGTTTTGATAGATTAAAATCTTACGTAACAAATAAGTCACAATGTTTGAATTTTACCAATAATTACTTCTCAAACAAGTTTTTAGTAAACTGGTTATTGATCATGTGACAATCTTTTGTAAATGAGGTGTGCATTTTATGAAAAACATCAAGAAACAATGTTCACGCTAAATAACCTAATAACTTCAGGGCTCTTTCACATTGTCAGAATTCCAAGAACGAATGCCATGACCCTCGACCAAAATCATGCTGTCAACCAATCCAACCATGGCGGCGACCACTCTTCTCCTCCACCACCGCAACCATTATCGAAAAATGCGCAAAAGAAGCTATTGAAGCAACAAAGGTTCGAAGCGAAAAAAGCGGAGAAAAAAGCCGCCATTAAAGAGGAGAAGAAACGACAAGCTGAGAGGAAGCGGAAAGAATGGGAAGAAAAGCTCTCAAGTCTGCCACAAGAAGAGAGATTGAAAATGATAGAGTCAAGAAAAGGGATGAGGAAAGAACGGATGGATCAGAGGACGGAAGAGAGAGAGAGCAAAGCTCTTAGGCTTTCGGAAGCTAAGAAACACGGGCAGAACATTGTTGTGGACCTAGAATTCTCTGATCTCATGGCTCCTAATGAGATTCATAGCCTCGTTAACCAGGTGAAATTCATTTTTATTCGAGATTTTTTTTTTGCATGAACAATGTTTGATTAAAACGTGAGATATTACTGGCTTCTATGATATTCCAGTTGTCTCTCTTACTGTCTATATATACATGTTCTTAGAGATGAAAACTTTAATCAATCATTTAGTTTGGGGGGTTAGGGTTTAAGAACTGAATTTACTTGGAGCTCTAAACCCTAAATCCAACACTGAGTAGCCTTTCCTCCCTACCGAGCAATGTAGATGCTTTTTTTATGTCATCTAATACCAATATTGGTACTCATGGGCTCATGAATTGTAAAGATAAAATGTCATTAAGATATGGCATTGCTGTTTCTGGGTACAGTTTTTTAGTGTAAATACTACTTTGAATGAAACAAGGGTACAATTTTTAGTTACTTATTCATTCATAAGTGTAACATCCTTTGTCAAAAAGATTAGCTATCAAGGAGATTTTCATTATCGTTATATATGAAACACTAAAGGGTGACTGCATCAAGCTCATCTTCTTTATAAGGGTGGGGTAGAGAAGTCTTGCAATGTGTTGACTCTATGGTTCGAAACTTATGAGCTCTACGAAATTCAGCAAGAGCACTTGACCCGAAAACCGTGCAAGGGAAAAATGAAAACAAACACACAGCTAACTTTACGTAGGAGCTAACTAAGAGTGGGCCCCAACACTAGTAGTAACATTTCGGAACTAACACAAAATCTAGAAAAAAAGAAGCCTTGGCTTCATAAAAACACCTTTAGAGCTTTATAAATGCAAAATAAAAATGTCTTATGGGCACATACTTCCGCTCTCAAGTGGGTTAATGATTCCAAACTTGGTAATGAGTAATGACTACAGTCTACAGAGTACCGATGCAAACTTTGTCTGAGAGCCTTGGCGAATAGGATCTACATGTTCTTTACTCTGAATATAACAAGGAAAGGTCACACCTTTTTGAACCTCGTCTCTTACACGATGAAAGTCAAGTTTGATATATATGGTTTTGTAATTACAACATCAACGGAAGGAACGGATATGTCAGGTGTACCATCACATAATTCGGTATCAACAGGTGGAAATGGATATGCAAATCATTCAAGAGAGTGAGAAATCATTGAACATCATAAAATACATCTACAGGACATGATAGAAAACTCCTTGCTACGACATATTGCCTTTTAGAAGCCTAGGATATGGGAGTTGACCTGCATCCTACATTAACTGGCCTTGTTAGAATCAGATCAAGTGCCCTAAATGCTATCACAAAAAGCTTGTAAGTGTAAGGAATTTTGGGAAGAGAAGAAGAACCTTATTCAAAATTCCCTTGATATACTTGGTTGCGGAATCTGGTTTAAAATCCGGGTTAGGAAATGATAGCTTTGGCACGATGATAGATAAATGTGGCTTTCAGCAATTACTTCTAAAGAATAACATCTGAGAAAGTTTCTTCTGATGGCACTGCATATGGTAAAAGGGATCTAAGGACACATAAAAGATTCAACAAAAGTAACCTTGCCTCTTGAATGAGATATCGGGCATATCTTCTTTGTCCCTTGTGAAATCCCTCTTTGGGTTCATGAAACTTAAAATTATAGATGGTATACCATTAGACTTGAGTCTTTGTTGCTAAAATCTGAATACAAGGAAGGCGTAAGAGCTTGAATTAAACGCATATGATTCCCCACCTTGGTTTAAAAATGCGCGCATAATGCGCTGTGATGCGCTGAAGAAAACGCATCAAAGGGTCTGATGCATTGCGATTCCATGATGCGCTCGCATCACTACGCATCACACGATGCGTGCATCACTTATGCATCAACGCATCATGTATTTTGCATTTTTGGGCTCCCTTTTTCAGTTTTTAGTTGGGCTTTTTAGTTGGACTTCTTAGTTAAGTAAAATAGAACGTGAGACTATGAGAGACCTAATAGAAGAAGCCGACAGTGAAGAAGTAGAAGTCGCACTGTGAGAGACCTAGCATCGCATATCAATTAAACGTGACGTGAGTTGTTGTCGATACTCGACAATGCAAAGAAGTAGAAAACAAACTTTTTAAGATTATAATGCCACTTTTTTAACTACTTTATGTTATAAATGAAGTATTTTGATAGGTAAGTATTTTTAAGGTAGAAATTGATATGTAGAATTAATTTATAAATAGTTTTTGAATACCGGGCGCATCACGTGCGTGATGCGAGCGCATCAGCATCACGCATCACGCATCGGCTTCCGGGACCCTTAACGCATCGGACCGCGTCACGCTTTTTAAAACCAAGTTCCCCACAACCGTTGCATCATCATCATCATCATAAACCAAGGCTGTTGTAAGCAAGGAACTTTCAGTGTTAGTAAACAAAGAAGAATCAAGAAGCCCTAAACCATTAGGGTTGTTGTCAACTTACTAGTTATTGTCTAGATGCTTGCTTAAAGCTAAATTTCTCATGTCAATATTTTTTTCTCACTCACACTTCTTCGAAATCTGTGAGTGTTCACAGAAACAACTGCTCTATTCTCTATAGTAGAGGTCTTGTCTGCTTACATCTCACCCTCAGACTCCACCTCTGAGTGGGATACAATGGGCTAGTTTGGTTTTGGTTTATATACCTTCTCAAGAAGAGCTCCATGCAAAACAGCATCGGTGAACACCAAATTCTTAAGAGTTGCAATCAGTTGCAAGAGAGATAGAACTGTCATTATAGTCATTCAGTTGATCACATGTGTGAAGTAATACCCTCTTGTGTCTACCCTTTTGCAACTAATCGAGCTTGTATCTTTTCATGAGAAACAAGAACCTCTTGTCGGTATCATTTTGCAATAACTTGGATCATCAGCCACTTAGTTGATTTTCTAAACCCAATTTTTCTAGAATACTCTTTGAGGTTGTGTATATAATAGAGTGGCATTTGGGCCCATATTCCCATTCATAGGTTCGAGATCTACATCTATGATTTATTTTGCACATTATACTTCTTTTTAACTGGGTGTTAGAGGGACAAATGTTGAAGTCTTATTGTGCTAAGGAATACTAGTCTCAACTTTGATCCATGTATCCTTGGCAACTTGTGTGTACCTTTTGTTACCCTATATAATAGCTTTAAGAAAATAACTTTGAGTACTACTCGAGAAAGAATTTTTGTACAGAGATGCACTTGGGAGCAAATGATAAGATGATTAGAAACTACAGGAATTTTTGGGCTTGGAAGGAATTTATGAAAAAATTTAGTTCCCCTTGCTTCTTGTGAAGGGTTGCTAAGGCGTATCCATAATTCTTTTAGTAGTGGGACAAAGTAATTACTATAATATAAAGTAAAATAAAACTTAATTATAAAGTCAAATTAATTATAGTTAACAAATACACTACATTTAAGGTTTTTGTGCTCCTTTGTTGTTAAGTTACAACTCAAATTTAAGTTTTCAATATGCTAATGTAGCTTCTTAATTTTCCGGCGAGGATGCCCGTGGTAGCGAGACAAATCACAATGGTAGCATTGTTAAGGGTCATAAAAAATATTTACACCATGACAGACAAATTCAGTGGTATCACTCATGCCTTAGTAGATCCGCCCATGGTGCTAACAAAGAAGACGTTAAGTAAGAACATGGAGAGACAGAATTACCTGGGGAGGGGAGTTATCTGGAGGAGTACAAGAGATGCTAGTAAGTGAAATGGAAGTAGAGGAAGGAGAAATAGAAGATGGAGAAGTTACTAGAGGGCGTTTACTTTGGGAATGAGGAGATGAACGGCAATGAGAAAAGATAGGTCGTAAGGAATATAGGAACATGTCTTCATGAAAAACAACATATGCCAAGAGACAAATCTCTCTCTTTGTTTGAATACCGAGGAGCACATAGCCTTTTTGTCAATGTGGATGGATACCTAAGAAGAACATAGTTATTCCAACAGAATTTGTGGTAGCTAAACATAGAGAGCCAAAAGCTTTGGGATGTCAATAAATGGATGGGTGTGCCAACATAATTTTACAACTTTTTAGATATTCATGAACAATTTTTAGTCTATTAAATAAAGGTAACATGTTCCCGAGAGCATTTGTGGAGCCGTGATTAAAACTGGTGAGTTAAAGACGAAGTTTTCTCTTTACATCGCCAAGCTTCTGGTGGTAATGGCTTTTCTAATTTATTATGAAATGAAACTAAACTTCATGTTCTTACACTTTGATGTATATTTCACTGTCATGCATGTAACCATAAATGTTGAAGGAGCCGTTGTTAAGTTTGGGAGTTGGGAACGAGGAATTGTCTTGCTGACATTGCAATTTTGTTAATTATTAAGAATCACATGCTAGAAAGTCCATGTTTTTTTTTTCTTTCTGAAACAGCATGTTTGAAGTACGAATTCAATCTTATATAATTGACATACAGATCTTTGTTTGAATTGTAAAGACGCTTTGTGTCAATGATGAGTTTCCATGCTCACTGAATTTCTAATTTGGCTCTGCTATTGGTTGTGGTTTTGGTAGCAACTGTCTTGAATGAAAAGTTTGCTGGTGACTTGTGAATGCAGATAATGTATTGTTATGCGGTGAATGGAAGAAGTATGGTCCCTTGTCATCTCTGGTTGACTGGCTATGAGGGAGAAATTGAAAGCCAGTTTCAAAAGATTCCTGGGTTTGACAAATGGATAATCGAGAAGCATAATGGTCCTTATATCAATACATTTGAAAGTGAAAAGGAGCATTTGGTATACCTGACAGCAGACTCAGAAACTATGCTCTCCGAACTTGATCCAAAGAAAATTTATATCGTTGGTGGGCTTGTAGATAGAAATAGATGGAAAGGGATAACCATGAAGAAAGCTGTAGAGCAAGGAATTGAAACAGCAAAACTTCCAATTGGGAACTACCTCAAGATGTCTGGTTCTCAGGTACAAGTCATCACAGTACTTGTTCCATTTTTCTTTTTCTTTTCCCATTAGGGATGAGTGATGATTTGGATTTTGTCTTGTTAATTGCTTTTTTAACAAGTCTATATGTATTACCTTTAAAATGACAAATTGGACTGCTCTAAGAAGCTGTTTGTCTCAAAATGTAGGTCCTTACAGTGAATCAAGTTATAGAAATACTTGTCAAGTTCTTGGAAACTAAAGACTGGAAGGCTTCATTCTTCCATGTGATTCCACAAAGGAAAAGAGGTGAAWCTGAAGCACAAGGATCTCAAGAAGAAGCTCAAGTGGATGAGAATTTTGATCAAGAGATTAAAAGGCAATGCATTGAAAACACAGATAGCCTGTAGGTGTGACCTTCCATTGTAACTTATATCCTACAGTACTGCTGATGCAAAACATTTCTCAATTCCAGTTGGATTCATATGTTGATTTTGAGTTAAGCTTAAGAAATCTTTTTATATTTACCATAAATATGGAATATGACACCTGAAATAGTAGTATCAAAACATTAATCCTTGATCCGTTGTTATCTGCAATACATCAGGTATGGACTATTTACTGTTGTAATTGTTTAGAAAGTTGATACCCAGTTTTACATGTTGTGAAACATGTATTTTTGTTAATTATAGATTTCAGTTTATTCAAACATTTATTTGTGCGTACCGAGCAACATAATGATCTGTTTCTTGTTCCCATGTTTCAGTCTGTTCCATCGTGCGATGCAACACAGGAATGTTAAGCAGGAAAAAAGATAAATGACCGATAAAAGAAAGAAAACTAAACAAGTAGCAAACAGACCGTCATCGTCTCATTGTTACCCTCTCAGTTACTCTTTACACTGAGCATATGGCTCAAAACCAGCAACAGCAGTAGGTCCAGAAGGGCCAGCAACTGATGGATCCTTGAAGAAACCACCAATGCTAGCAGGACCAAAGAAGCCATTATGATGATGAAAAGCAGCAGGCATAAAACCATATGGGCCAGGATCAGCAGCCCTCTTGACAAGTGGCTCCCCCCTTATGGATCCACGCTCACCGCCATCAAATTCCCTGTAGCGGTGGAGATAGACAGTCAAAGGCTCGATATAATCATCAAATCCCAGTTTGCTCATAGCCCACAGGACATCTTCAGCGGTGATGGTCTTCCTCTGCTCACGCTGGCAGCGATCATTGGCTTCGCCTGTCACAAAACTAATGTACTCAGAAACACATTCTTGGATGGTTTCTTTGGCGTCATCAGAGATCTTGGCATGTGGAGGGAGGATCTTTCGCATGATTCGGATCACATTTGCTATTGGCATGAAACGGTCTTGTTCTCGAACAGTGCACTCATTGTCATCTGTAGATGGGTGGTTGGTGTTCATTTCCGGTAGCTTCAGTTTCATGTCCGTTTGCTGCTGCATCCCTGGCCGGAGAACGTATGTAACCCGATTAGGCAGGAACCAATTACAACTTAACTAGCTGTTTTGATCAATTATGAATGAGAAAGAAGAAAAACAAAGTATTTAATTTTGGGATTCACATGAAGATTATAGCTTTCATCATTTCTGCAAACTACCTCTGTTTGATTAACTTGAAGATCCGCCATGAATTCACAAAAAAGAAGTCTGAATAATGTAGTATATATGCAAGTTCCATTCTTTATTTTGCAATGATAGATCTTAATCGTTTTCATACCCAAGTATAAGGAAACTTGAAAGTCATGTATTACCATGGTTTTATTTTATTATTAATACATGTATACATGTGTGTATATATATATATATATATACATATATGTATATGCACTTAAAAATAATTGGAAAAAACAAAAACAGAAGAGTGTGAAAGTGGAAGGAGGTGAAGTGTGCAAAAGTGACAGATTCGTGGGGTCAAGATGGTTTAGTGATATTCTTGCATGCATGCCACTTGTTCTACAATATTTGTCCAAATTCACACACTGCTTCAAGACCAAACCTCCATTGATGATACTCATACTCATATCTATACAGAAAATTATATATATATATATATATATATATATAATATCTGTTTCAAGATCGATGCATGGACTGGTTTATTATATATATATTGAAGAAGATAACAGAATGCATGCAGAAAAGGTAATACTGAAAAGTGAAAACCCCATTCAAAGATTTCTTGAAAGTGGATAAAGAAGAAACACAAAGAGGCCAATGCAATTGCAGAAAAAGGAACTCCAATAGAGTGAAAGAAACATTATATATATATATATGTATATGTATATATGGAGGAGGAGTAAAGTACCAGATGTAGGGTGGATGGGGATCCTGTGGAAACCTCCTCCACGTTGCATCTTCTCTCTCTGTCTCTCTCCAGAAACTGAAATTGAAAATTGAAGAGAGTGTGTTGATGATATACAGAAAGAGAGCAAGTGGTTTGTTGGGTGCCAAATATGGACAATTAATTATTAAGCATGATGATGGTGGGTGGTTGGAGAGATGGAGACACGTGGCATGAAGGCGCGGTGAACAAGAACCCAGTATTCGTCGTCGGAGGCATGCAGCCTTGAAACCAGACTTGGGTTTAATAAGGGTGAGAGCAAGATTCAAAAAGACATTATATGTTACGGTGTCTGAATGGGCTACATACAAAACCCTCCCTCCACACCCTCAATGTTTCCGCAAACACTACGACTCACAAATTCAGCTGGTAAAACTATGTATAAATTTATTACCATTGTTTGGTGGATTCTTAAGCTTGGATCCAACTTCCTTCAACAGCCATGGCTGTTTCTTTTTATATCTTGTTTTGAAATCGCCATCTAAAACACCTAAGATATATATAGACGTAGCTCGAACCACCAAGTGAAACAAACACACCTACCTCTTAAAATTTTTATTTACATCTATTTTCTTGTGAGTATTAATCTAATTAGATCCATAGATTAGTATAAATCAAGGGTCATTGGAAAAAGCATATTTGTAAAAGCAAAAGATAAGGGTACTTTTGTCAATTTGCAAGGAAATTGAAAGGGTATTTTGGATACTCGAAAAAGTCGATGGGAGTTTCGCCTGGACCATTCAATGTGAAAGAGCATGTGTTGAAGGCACACCCTCTTCGTTTCTCCTATGGTTTCTTCTTACCTCAATTTCTTCGTCCATCATCAACTTCCTGTCATGCCCGCACCATCTTATGACGTCTGTAAGTTCGTCTTCTTTTTTAGATAATACCATCATCATCACCATCATCTAGTATTTACATTTATGTTGAAGAATCAAAATTTGTATTTAGGGTTTTTATTTAGAAAAGCGGATTTCGCATCATACTGATAATAGGTCCACTTCACTTGAGCTGCAAATGCGAGAATGGTCTCACAATGTCAAATCTTGCTACCAATGTGAAGGTCTCTTTAATGTCTACTCCATATTCTTATGCACACACCCGTATTACTAACCTTGCTTTGTGCTTTTATATTGTTCCATCTGAATGATACTTTGGTCTTAAAAATTCATTAAAACCGATTGCTTTCTTTCGTTCGGGTAGAACAACTAGTTTCCAGGTTCCATTCTGTTGATTCTCTCTCTCAGTGATTTGACGATGATCTATTTTATCTATCGAAGTGTACTACCTTTGTATTCAGCTTCAATGATCATCACGGAGTCTGTTCAATGATTGCTGAACATGTATTGTAATTTCTTTAGAGACCAGTATCCTTTCAAGAAGACAAAACTCACACCACAGACCCTTCAGCGATATCGAAGATAGAAGCTGAAGATAGAGACCAACAAGTTACCAAAGGGCCTTTGGCCTAGCGGTATCGTAGCCCTTGGCCTTCTAGAAGGTCAGGGGTTCAAACCTCACCATAGGTGAGGMGGGTGTGTGAGTTTATTTGTTGCATTTGCCGTATATAAATATTATAGACTTCAAAAAAAAAAAAGTTCGCGATCTGAAATGATTTTCAATGATAACAAGCTCGTCTACACAAGTGTTAAATCTACGCAAGATTCAACGAACACTGATGAGACCTTCAGCACCATTCCAGTCTTCAACAATCAAATGAATCTTACTGAACGAGATAGTTTTTGTTTTGTCCTTCTACACACAAAGGACAAAACCCATACCTTTCAAAGTAATGTACTGTAGGGAGTCACTTCATTGTCTTCAAGCGTGCTTACCTACTTTATGAAAGAAGACTGTTCATATACGGCCAAATGATTGTATATTGCAACAAATGACAAGCTTACCTCTTAAAGCTTGCCACGTGCTTTGTATCTTCTGAATTGCATTTAATGCAATGAGTATAAATAGCTGAATAGTTCTATCTTCTCAGTTATCATCTTCCTTATCCTATCTTACCCAAGAAGATACTCTTTTTATACTCTCTATCAAGAGAAAGACTTCCACTGTAACAAGTAAAAAACACATTACTTCTTAACCTATTTCTTGTAGCAAGTCTTTTCTTCTTGTTGTTTGTAATTTTGTGTGTATCCTTGATTGTTTAATAGGTTTTATATCCTATCTTTTCCGCAAACAATTTGTAAAAATCTATATTGATCTTCTTTATCGATATAAGTTTTTAAAGCGAAAGCTGTTGTGTTTGTATTTATCCTTCCCATTCTTCAAACCGTTACCTATAAACTCTTGTAGATCTGGTTGAGATCAACAAGTGGTATCAGAGTAGTGTTTGTTTTTGTGTTGTATTGTTGTTTTATTATCTCTTTTTTTTTTCTAGATAATTTATTACCTTTCAAAATGCCTTTGCAAAACACAAGCACAGACTTTCACGATAATGACTTCCTTGCCAAACCTCCCCGGTTTATCAAAGACAACTTCAGTCTCTGGAAGAACTGAATGTCTCTCTTCTTGGAAGGTATGGATCCTAATATTCCATACTACATTGAGAATGGACCTTATGTTCCATCCGCAATCTCTCCAGCAGTTTCTGCTACTGCTACGACTGTCGCGATTCATGAACGGCGCCTAGCACCCAGAGGAGCAAAGCTTATTTGCGAAAACGGGCAGATTCCAAAGCTCCATCATTAGTGGAGTGACGAAGACAAGAAGAAAGTGGCTTTAGATACTCGTGCGAAATCTATAATAACCTTGGTTCTTTCTGACGAGTTCTATCACTCTGTGATGAAGCTTAAAACCTCGAAAACCATGTGGAACACTCTCTGTGTTCAATATGAAGGTACTCCTGAAGTACAACAATTGAGGAAGATTAACTTAGTAAGACAATATGAAAGTTTTCTTTATGGAAAATCTGAATCTTTGTTTGAAACATCAACGTTTTAATTGTCTTCTTATTTATTTGAGGACATTTGGAAGAGAATATTCCAACTCAAAGACGTTGACAAAACTTCTTGAATGTTTGCCAGAATCAAGGGATAATTATACCATGTGTCTCAAGATGTCCAAGGACATGTCCAGCCTTTCTCTCAGTTCTCTTTATGGGATATTATTTAATCATGAGCAATCTCGTCAGCTGAAGAAGAATATTCTAAAATAATCCAAAGAAATGAAAAGCACTCCTCTAACTTTGATCTTTGATAGCCATTCAATTGACCCTTCTATTTCTTCTACTTCCTCCTCTTCCGTTTTTATCACTGAATTAGATCCTTCTAACTCTGAGGACTTGACAAACGCTGATCTTTCAGAGTTTGATGAGTCGCTGTCTTTTCTAACTAAATCTTTCAGGAGGTTCGCCAGAAAAAGCAACTACCGCATATCTCCTTCCCTGACCATAGCTGAAAAGCCAAAGTCAAACCCCATTGACAATGCTTCAGCTAGTTGCTACAACTGTCAACGCAAAGGTCACTTTGCTAATGAATGAAGGTTGAAAAAAGCTACGACGTCATCTTCCAACCTCTCATCCTCCTTCAAGCCTCAAAAGGACAAGTACATGAAATTGAAGGAGCAGTACAAGAAGATGAAGACTCTTCAGCGTAAAGGTAAAGGCCTTGTCACTGAAGAGCATGACCGGGTTGATTCTTCTGATGAATCATCCTCGGACAAGGAAGACACAGCCTACCTCTGTCTCATGGCTAAGGATGTCAAAGATGAATCATCTGAGACATCATCCTCCAGTGATCCCTCGCCATCAACCTCTACCAGGTATGTAACATGAATAAACCTTCTTCTTTTTCCTCTGATAACCTATCTGCACTAGATACGCTAACGGTTAACCTTTACAATATCCTGAATGGAAAATCCAAAGCTGAAAAACTTGATCTTGATCTTCAAGAACAATTAGAGAGATGTCATTCAAAGATCAAAGAGCTGACCAAGATTGAAGAAAATCTTAAGGATCAAGTCATTGTAAACCAGATCATTAACATCGAAAGCGAGCAGGCCATCGTTGAGCGTGAGCAAGCAATTATTGAATTCAAGGCTAAGAAGGCTACCATTGAAGGATGGTGTAAAGCCTCTATCAAGGCCATTG